CCAGCGAGTGTGTGTGTGTGTGTGTGTGTGTGTGTGTGTGTGTGTGTGTGTGTGATTTTCATACATCACAAAGCCAAAAACACCTACGTTGAATCGTGAATTAGGGGCCATCTAGAATCTTCACACACATTCCCTTCTTCCTGCCGCTGCCTTCCTGCTCTGCATCACGGCCTCCTGCTGGCTTTCTGTCCAGCCACCCCTTCCTCCAAAGCTTCCTCCAAATCACCTCTAGATTAAGATGAGCGCTACAGTGTGATCCTCCCGAGGTTTTGTCTCCATGAACGAACTGCAGCTCCTGCAGTCTGGGGTGGGGGGGTTCCCATTGTTCTGTGAAGCAGGTTCAGCCTACAAGGGCCTAGGATGCGTGAGATGCCTGCCAAGAGCAACCACTTTCCCCAGGCTGGGCCTGGAGCCTGGCTGCAGCGCACCCTCTGCACAGGCCCTGCTGGTTTCTGCTTGGGGGTAGGCACTGATGCCCCACTTCCAGGGGTCTGCTGGCTAAAGACACGCACAGCACCCATGCCTCGGTCCTGAGGTGCTGACCACGCCGGGAAATCCACCCGCTGCAGCTGACAGCAACGGGACCAGGCCACGCTCCTGGCTACCAGATATGTTCCACTCACCCATCCCACTGAACTTCAAAAGCAGAAGTTCAGAGAGAGCACTATTAAGAATTTCAAGATAACTGCGGAACTCTAAACCCCCGTGGACTCTCATAAGTTGGTCCTGGACAGAGACGAGAGACATTGACGGATGGGAGTCCCCATAGATTTCCACTGCCAATGGGAAGATGATCCAAAGAAATAGGAAAGACACCCGAATAATATTCAAGATCTACACCTAAGAAAGATCCTATAGGATCCCTTGGCACAGACTGATACCCAAGTAACAGAAAAATTATATTATTTAAACTTACTGCTAACATTTCAATTTTTGAAAAATTTCCTGTGTTGTTGCAAAGGAAGGAAAGAAGATTAACACACGTAAATCTCTAATTCCTGAATATACTCATTAAGGAGCTATTCAGATCCAATGTCTAGATCCAGTGTCTGGATCATTATAAGGAATTGGCTGAAAATGAAATCCCTACATACAATTAAGCATCTTATAGATGTTAATTCATAATGATTTAAGGGAAGGTTGTCTGAAACTTTCTGTACTTTCGAAATCGACATCCAAAAGATGAAAGGAAACATTTCATTCATTCATCCGTCCATCCCTTTGTTTAGCAAACATTTAGACTGGCAATGTATCATGTGCCCAGCGGGAAGGACAGAGAAGATCATATGACACAGGTGTCATAGGGATGGGGGAATTAAAGAAAATACGCGGTAACTTCTAACTATATTCTCCTTTCTACTCTTAGACTCTATTGCTGAAAGAGTGGCCCTAGCTGGGTGCCGGTGGCTCACACTGTAATCCTAGCTACTCAGGAGGCTGAGATCTGAGGATCGCAGTTCAAAACCAGCCTGGGCAGAAAAATCTGTGAGACTCTTACCTCCAATAAACCACCAGAAAACTGGAAGTGGCACTGTGGCTCAAGTAGTAGAGCACTAGTCTTGAGCTGAAGAGCTGAGGGACAGCGCCTAGGCCCAGAGTTCAAACCCCAGGACTGACAAAAGAAAAAAAAAAAGAGTGGCCCAGTTTCTTGGCTCCCAGTAAACAGAGCATACAAATGTGTGCTCACGCAGGCGCCCACATCAATTTACACCAATAACACCAATTCCAAGGCTTCGTTCTGTTTTTCTATGTTTTCCATTTTTATAGCCTGCCCTGTAAATGATGAGAAACCTTGCCCCCAGGATTGCCGAGCTGTCTACTTATCTAATCAGTCCTGCTCTTGATAGCAAACTTATTTCTGCTCGTCTAACTCCCCCAGCACACCCCTAGTCCATGTCGGGCCCCACGGCCCCACAGTGGGCGGAAGCGCTCGCTGCCCGCACTGTGAACCATCCCTGCACCACCGCATCCTCACAGAGCCTGGGCACCCGTGCCCTGAGCCACGCACCGGTGCCCTGAGCCAGGCTGCCCAGCCCTCCCCGAGCTCCTCACGGTCCTCAGCTCCCACTGCCCGGTGCACAGACCTCCATTGCTGCTGCCTGCGCCGGAGCCTGCAGTCTTATCAACAGTGTCAGATAAAAGGCAAAGGGAGCGGAGAACAAAAGGCCAGCCAGCAGAGCACGCACGCGCATGCAGGTAGCAGGGCAGGGAAGGCAAGGAGTGCGTGAGGTGGGCACCGTGCAGGTGGCTGCGTGGTATCCTTCCCCCGCTCTGGCTCATCAAAGAAACGCATCTTCTACTGACCAAATTAAAATTTAACTCATAGCAGTGATTACTGGCAATCAGTGCAGTAAATTCATGGAGGTTCTACTGTGTGCCAAACACTTTCCTACCAAGAAGTCTGCTCCTAGGATCTTGTTTTGCTGTGTGTCAGGCTGACCTGTAAAGAAAGTAAGTACTACTTCAGGGAGCCCGTTGTGAGAGCTTTGAGTTGTCTCGTTTCGCTCTGATAGACTTACTGACAGCACCCTAGGAGCTAATAATCATCTCACCCTTCCAAAGCCCCTTCAATTAAAACAGATTGTCCCTGAATTAAATTCTATCCCTGTCAGGTTTGGAGGTGTAGCTCAACGGCAGAGCCAAACACATTGAGGCCCCAAGTTCAAGTCTAGCAACACACACACACACACACACACACACACACACACACACACCTACCCTTTTGATTCCTTTCACTATACCCTTCCTTTATGATACTAAAACCTTCTTCCCTATTTTTCCCATTGACCTTGCCCTCAGACTCTGGATTTATTTACGCAGGATGAGGTAGACAGGGAAGGTCAATGGGAAAAATAATCTGTGATTCTATCCCATAAACCACGGATGACATCTTAGTTAGAAACATTTGACAATCTTGAGGGCCCATATAAGATCTATCCAGCCAAGAGCTGGGAATGGTGACCATGAATACTGATCAGTATACTGTGTATATAGATAGATGAGTGTAATGCATATATAGATGGCCATGAGTATATAAATTAGCATACCAGTATATAGATGAGTATGAGTATGTACATGACTATCCTGAGTATATAAATAAGTATGTGTTTATAGGTGACTATGAGTACATAGAAGAATATAATGCATATATAGATGAGCATAATGAGTATATAGATGACTGTAATATGTATATAGATGAGCATGATGTATATACAGAGGACTGTGAGGTGAGTATGGGTATATAGGCAACTATAATGTGTGTATAGATAAGTGTATAAATGAGTATGGCAATATACATGAGTAAGAATAGATGAGTATAATGCATACGTAGATGACTATGGTACATATATAGATGAATATTGTAAGTATAATGATGAGTGTGAGTGCATAGACAAATCCACAGATGAGTATACCCACCTATATAGATGAGTATAGTATATATAGAGACAAGTATGAATATAGTCACGAGTATTATGAGTATATAGATAAGTATGAATATACAAATGAGTATAATGAGTCTACAGCCAAGTATAATGAATGTATAGATGAGTATAATGCATGTGTGGTCTAACCCAAGCATCAATGTTATGCTAGGAGGTTTGGACCGGCCCATAACCCCCTGGGGCTGAATCCAATCCCGTGAAAAGTTGTATTTGTTCAGAACAGTCTGTGAGAAGCAAACAGGAAGGCTGTGTCCTCCCTTGCCTGGCCTGCTGCACCTCTCCAAGACGCACAGCTCTGTGGCGGTCCCTGGCTTGCTGATAATAATAGCTACTCCTACACATGCATGCACACACACACACACACACACACACACACACACACACACATATCCACAGAGTGCACACGCACACACGTGCACCCACAGTCTTCATTCTTTTTTTTTTTTTTTTTTTTTTTTTTTATTGAGGAATCTTCCTTTTATTTTTACTAGTATCTCTTATATAGTTTATGAAAGTATACAGATCTTTTAGTGTAAAATTTCAAATAGGCTGTCACAGATTCTAAATTCTTTGACAGTTTTCTGTTCTCTGTGCTCTGTGAAATATGTAATATATCCATCACTTTTTTATATCATATTGAAAATTCATATTACCGAGGAGATGTCACCATTTGACAAAAGCTCATGTATCTTGAAAATGAAAATTCTGGTGCTGCTATAGAGATTTCTGATGGGTTGATGAGTTGGTCATATGCAAAGGAATACATTCTCTTGAATCTTAGCAGAGCAATTGTATCATTGTCGACAGAATAGTTATCACTAAGTTGGAGTTGGTCTACGTATTTTATTACTATATAGCTAGGAGAATCTGTTCCTAATTCTCATTAAGCATTTTCTTCTAATGGCACTTCATGTGGGTAGGCTTGTTTCTGACATCTTGGGAGAAAATAAGGGCAACATATGTTTAGTACAAGTTACATATATATTTGTTGAAGTTGTAAGAAGGTCTCTGTAATGGATGATTGTGTGAAACACCAGATTCAGGTCTTCCAGAATGTAACTTTAATAAACTGGAGTTTCTTTTTTTTCCTATAAGGTAACAAAAATTCCTGTTGTATACTCTGCTTATTGGTGTGTGTGTGTTTAGTTGCTTGTGACATCGCTGGATTCCTAAAAAGCCTTCAAGGCCTTGGCTTTCTGGAAGCCAAAGGCAGATGGCAATGCATGCTTTCTTTCAGCTGTCCAACAAGAAGCTGAGTGTGAGTGGTTTAGAAAGATGAACTCTCAGGCCTCCTAAGTATCACATGTGAAGTCTTGGTGCCTGGACATTTTTATAGCTTGTAGATTCTGGTCCTGTTCAGTTTACCTCATAGCACAGTCTTCATTCTTATGGGGCATTTCACCCATCCCTGCTGTTTTGAGAGGTCTCGTGGTGTCTTCCTCGGGAGCTCTCCTTCCGCCCTCATTGTGCATTCCTTTGCACGGTGTACTCAGCCATAAAATCTCCTTGTTTTGGTTCTGTCCAAAGTTTTCATGGTGAGCCTGCCGCTGAGAGCCAGCTCAGTCTGGACTCTGCCCTGACAATGAAGGAGTTACACAGTTGGAATGAACTGATCTCACTTTTCCATCCAGAGTGAACGGATGGACATGGACGCCACACTTTTCAGATTTTATTTCTCAAGATCCCTATAGGAGAAAGTGGACCTTCATGGACGCACCTGTTACAGCTTGTAGGAAGGAGACGGAGAGGCTGAGGGCCTCTGCGTGGAGACGGACAGGAAGCAAGTGAACACGGCCTGTCAGGTGGGATCCCTCTCCGCAGGGAGCGACGCAGGCAACTCAGCAGGCCAGGGAGGATGGACGGACGGACGTCCGCAGGAGATGACCTGGGGGAAGAGACAGCGGGTCATGTGAGGAACTCTCCAGGCGGATGGAATAGGGGTATGCAGCGGTATGTTTTAGGAAGAAAAGGCAGGCCAGCATGTCTGGGGCACTTGGGGAAGGGAGGGAGAAGGGAAATGAGAGCTGAGCGCGGGAGGCAGAGACCAGTCAGGAAGGGCCCTGTGGTCCCTGACGGTGTGATTCCATCCGGGCTGTGAGCAGAGCCGGTGTGATTCCATCCGGGCTGTGAGCAGAGCCGGTGTGATTCCATCCGGGCTGTGAGCAGAGCCGGTGTGATTCCATCCGGGCTGTGAGCAGAGGCGTCACAAGAGCCATGTAGGGGCAGCTCGCTGGAGGCGGAGGCCGGGGGGAGCTGCGGGAATGGCGTGCGCAGGGCAGATGGAGAAGGTGGCAGCCGTGGTTATGTGCTGACGAATTTCAAGAGTGGGAGTCATCCAGGACCACTCTTGGTTTTAGGACTAAGGAACTGAATGGAGTCTGGTGTCACAGAGCTAATAGTAATAGCTGACCTTGTATTACAAGCTTTAAATCCCATCTTTCTTCTTTGTGTCCCAGCGTGGGTCATAAGCACTGGTTAAAAGAGCTTTATTCTTCCATCTGCCATGTATTATTGGTTGCCTGCCACATTCCAGGTACCATTTTAAGGTAACAGAGCTATTTAGTCAATTTCTTAATTTATTTAGTCGATTTTATTATGGTTAATTTAAACAGCTCACGTTGGAGCCTCCTTGATGGGTAATCTAAGCCACTGATGAAATGAGTTTTTTTTTAGCACTGGCATGCCATTTGCCACAAATGAAGCTGCCTTAGCTGAGTGTCAGCTGTGAACAAATAGCGATGGCTCTCTACTTGTACTATTCCAGAAATTCACAGGAGATCAACAGGAGACAGCTTAGCTTTGTCAAACTTGGGCCAGCCGTACAGCTCAGCTCTATCAAGTGAGAACTCCGCTTGTTAGAACAGAAGCCTCAGACTCAAAGCCTGCTTTACATTTTGTCTTTGATGTACTCGGCCACCTCCACCTCTAGCATTGCCCTAGACCCACAAACCTCCAGCACTGCCCTAAGCCCCCACAAACCTCCACCACCCTAACATTGCTCTAAATCCTCACAAATTTGACCGCCTTACTCACACACAAACCCTTACTTATCTCTGATCTCTTGGGATTATCGTTTTAAGATTCTTCAGATTAAGCAGATGCAAAGCCATTCATGGAGGTTGGATCAGTCCACATGGAAAAAGCCTCTCGTAGACTCTGAATACATTTAGTCGCCATTTGCAGACATTTTAGGCCATTTCCACTTGAGCAAGGACGGCAGCATAAACTCTTATGCCAGGTTTATTCCAGTTGTCAATCTCTGTGAGGTTGAACATCTCAAAAAGTCCAGTACCACCAGTGCTGGTGGCTCATGCCTGTAATGCTAGCTACTCAGGAGGCTGAGAGGTGAGGATCATGATTCAAAGCCAGCCCAGGCAGAAAAGTCCCTGTGAGACTCTTATCTCTAACCATCAGGAAATGGGAAGTGGTACAATGGCTCAAAGTGGGTAGAGTGCTAGCCTTGAACAAACTAGCTCAGGGACAGCGCCCAGGCCCTGAGTTCAAGCTCTGTACTGACAAAATAAAAGTTCCATGGACTTTTCTGCCCAAGCTGACTTTGAACTGCAATCTTCAGATCTCAGCCTCCTGAGAAGCGAGGGTTACGGGCATGAGTGACAGATGCCCAGCCAGGGATGCCTTATAATCTTGGGATGAGGAAGCCTGTCCTAAATAATTAAATCAACGAAAAAAATGACACACTCAAAGACGTAAAAAGGGAACATGTGCGTAAAAACAGTAAAACGAACTTGGAAATGAACAAGACTGGAAGGTGACACTAGAGCACGTACAACGGGGTGGACTGATGCAAGGAAAGAGACAAGCAACAAAATGGCCTTCACAGAGCAAAAGGCTATGGTGGCTAAAGAGGCAACCCACTGAGTGTGGTGAAGAAAGACACAGCTTAACAGAGCCGTGGGTGGACAGGAAGAGCAAGAAGCTGCCGCAGCGCAGCGCAGCGCAGCACAGCATCACTCTTCTAGGGCAATGAGCAAAGGAGCCTACTGACCCTTTACCTTCCTAACGCAATTCGGCAATGCATCCAGGGAGGGGGTAAACTTGGGCATCTCATTTAACCCAATAAGGAACCTCACCTTCCCCTTTCTTCACCCAGTTCTGTGGTCTTCTATTAGTCATTCCGCATACATATGCTCAGTTCTCTGGCTCTGTGACCTCCTTGTATTAATGTCAATATGAGTGTGTTCATTCATTTATTTGTCCAATTAGTAAGCAATGATTTATCATCTGCTTTGTGCCAAACACATTTCAGACACTTGAGATTCACTCGTGAACAAAACAGGTAATTATCCCTGCCCTGGTGGGACTTTCACTTGAACTGACTGTGGGTCAGGCCACCGGGAGGCAGGGCGGGGGAAGTCCATGCAAGAGGTGGGCACGAACCCAAACAACCAGGGTCTAACGTGACCCCTCCAGATGTCTGAATGTTCTGTCTAAACTGCCAATCTCATTAAAGAAATGGGAGACAGGAGGTCCCCATGGCGTCAGTGAAGAGCACCATGTTTCTTACTGTAACTACAATCTGCTGGCCAGTTGCTTTTCCAGCTGTGTCTCCTACCCTATGTTCCCAGCAGCTGCTGAGTGTTTGCATATGGTGGGTACTCTTAAATATGGCTTTTTATTGCAGCCTCTCTTAGATCTTCCCTTTTTTTTGACAATTTGTTCTTCCTGCTGTGTTTCTACCTCTATCTGTCAAAAGGACCGTCTCAGTGCTGCTCCGGTACAAGCAGAATTAATCGTTGATACCTTTGAAGACGATATTACTGGTGCCAATAGAGGTTTCTAGAAGGCCCTTTCCATTATCATCAATATAATAAATATGAATAAAAGGTCAATTTTTACCTGAGTAAAAGTAACATTGAATGCTTTAGTCCATTACCTGACTCAAGGAAGTACAATCAAAGACTGAATCCAGGTACAGTGGCAGGCACCTATAACCCCAGCTACTGAGCAACTTAAGGCAGGAAGATCTCTTGAGCTCAGGAATTTGGAGCCAATATGCAATATGCAAAAACCCAGTCTCAAAAACAAAAGCAGGGGCTGGGAAGGTGGCTCAGTGGTAGAGTGCTTGCCTTGTGTGCATGAGGCCCTACGTTTGATTCCTCATGACCACATAAACAGGGAAAAAAAAGGCCGGAAGTGGTACTGTGGCTCATGTGATAGAGTGCCAGCCTTGAGCAGAAGCAGCTCAGGGACAGTGGCCAGGCCCTGAGTTGAAGCCCCAGTACTGGGGGGGGGGGGGGGGCCAGGGGGGAAGCAGGATCACTTAAACAGAAGAAGAATCACTTTACCACTACTTTACCATTAAGTAAACTTGTCTTATTTACTTCTGATACATTCTGTGCTGGAGATACACAAAGGGAAGCAGAGAATTAATTCAAGTAGGTTTCCCTGCTGTAAAGCTACCTGGAATTCCAGCCGATGTGGGATCTAAGACAGAGGTGTCTGATGAGTTCACAAGTGTCAGGAAGCCTTGAGGCTGCACAGAGAGACATAGTCCCTTGGAGTCAGGAAGATACTGGAGACGGTCCAGTGCGGGCTCCTAGTAGGAACAGAGTCTTCTACCCTGCACCAGTGCACCAGTCTAGTCGTAGGGAACTGGTTCTCTGTAAGGCTGCCTTTTTCATCAGTGGAACCGAGGTATGAGCCACACTTTGCTTCCTTGTTTTCACTTTCTTTCCCTGGAGTTTCTGCCCATTTGGGCCTCCGTGCAGACCCATCAGGCCACACGGTTGTTAAATGAATGCTCTCGCCGCACAACAGCCTCCAAAACACTTGCTCCGGAGGCCTCGTCTCATTTTCCTTAGTCATTCTTTTCTTTAGCTATCCCCAGCATACAGCATTTCTGCAGGTCTCTTCTGCCTGGCCAGCTTTTCCAGGATGCGGAGGAGCTCTGCGCGTGCCACCGTGGGAACACTCGGCATATCTTCTGACGGGTGAGGGGTGACTAGAACACTTCTATCTTTCCGTGATTGGTGCTGATTATCCCGCGAATGCTTGTAGCACACATTTCACACTCCGGTGCTATTAAAAGCTTGTGGCCAGTCAGGATGGTCTGAGTTGTTTCTCTCACATGAAATGTTGCGAGAGTAGATATGTCCTTACACACGAGTGCACGGGGAGGGGCTTATCACCAGATAAACGAGAACTGGTCAGAAACCTGGGTTTATTACACTCATAGTGAGGTGCTGAGGAAAGCCCTGTGTCCGGCAAACATGTGCTTCTTTCTAAAGAACAAGCTATTTATAGCCACCGTCTTCCCAAAGGACCCGAGATGACTAGGCTATTACCTTTCTAGAAATGAATTTTCACCAACAGCTTCCCCTTCCTTTACCAAATCCCTGCTTCAAGTAACTAAACATCTGCGGGTTTTCTTTCTTCAAATGCGGGTTGACTTAAAAAGAAAGAAAGGAAGGAAGGAAGTGGCCAGGTCAAGAAACCCAACCCCTCGGCACCAGCCGGAGCTCCGCCTCCACGGAGGGCTCACAGTTTGAAGGCCAAAGAGGGAGAAGAGGGCTGGAGCAGGTGCTCAGGCCAGAGCCTCCCCCAGAAGCCCTGCCACGAGGCTCCCTCCCCCCGTCTCTCCAGATTTCTTCCCAGGAGGAGTCAGCTAGGACTGCAGTCCCTGCCAGGAGGGAGAGGAGCCGACCTCGCTCACCAGCCACTGTCTTCGGATCCCGGGTGTGTATGGCGCCTGTGGAGGGGATGTGTGTGGGGTTTGTGTCCTGGGGCTGTTTTCCTGAAGGGGTGCCCCTGGTCTCCCGTGGGGAGGCAGAGGGTATTTTCT